GACGTCCACTGGGGACAGGCCTGCTCCAAACCACACCCCCTGCTATCAGACAATGACGCTCTGTTTATGAAACCGGATAGGGCATGAAGTCTTAGGTAACTTAACCCTTTGTCAAATGTCACCCGCCTTGACAAAAGGGTTTCACTTGTGTCTGTTTTGCCTTTTATTTTTCCTTTTTAAATGAAACAGAAGATAAGTTTGGACTCTATTTAGTCTAGCTCAGAAGAAAAAGTTTCAGCCTACTTCCCTGAAGGATGATAAATGAGACCCAGCGGCCTGTTTGCTTCCCAACTCCTGAGCAAATCACAGGCACCGGGAAGCCATCGCCATCAGGCGTGGACAAAGGCGGGGTCTTCCCTTCTCCTCTCTTCTGTCTTCCCCAAACACAATTCCTTCCTGAGCCCTGTGTTGCTAGCATGACTCCTTCAAAAGAGTCACGAGTACCTCACAATCCTTCCTCCTTGATTGATAGACATCGGACTGTGGCCAAAAAAACCACCTTTGATGTGTTCCTGTAAAAAATAACAGACTTTCCTGTTTGTCTCAGCTGCTGAACTGCAGCTTCAACCCCAAAGGACAAAGTATTCTGCATTAAAAAGAAAGTCAGCATATTCTACACACACACACACACACACACACACACACACACACACACACACGGCCTAGGCATCGGCCTCTGGGGGTTCAGCTAGATCCTGTTTCTTTTGCTTGCCTTAATATGAGTTTTCACCATCTCTGCTATTTGGGTCTCAAAATAGCAACAGTAATTATCAGATTGTTGTCCTGGCTTCCCACCCCTAACTGAACCCAGTGCCTCTGAGACTTCCCTGTGAAACCTCTGAACCCACGGAAGGGACACTCATCTGTCTTTCTAAGTCAGGAGAAGGAGACATGGGAAGAGATGGTGGCCCCGAGCTACAGGCACTCCTGGGTGACCCCCGTCTTATGTCTCTGTCTCCTGAGAAATATCTGGAAGTAGAATCAGAACACAGCAGGAGACCGCCGGAGGACAAAGAGTGCTCAGAAACAAGGGTTTGCAGAAACACAGTCACAGATGCTGAAAATAGAAGTGACCGCAGCTATCCCCAGCCCTGCCTGGCCACCAACTCACTCTGTAGCCCAGGCTGGCCTCAAACTCCTAGTGATCCTCCTACCTCAGCCTCTCAGGTGCTGGGACTAAACCGCCACGCGCCCTGCTGGATCGTGTCTTTTAAATGACCTCCCTTGTCCTCCTTCTTTTCTGTGAGTTCTATGTTCTGCTCTCACACCCAGACGTGATGCCCACGCAACCTTCACTGTGGCTTTCGTTTGATTTCCCTAGTGTCTCTGTTATTGTTTGCTTGTTTTTAAATTGATCTCCAATGGATTCATTGTATTTTTCTTTACATTGGATTCGATGAGAATGTCCATAAAAATCATATATTTTAATGTATTTTACTTTCCCTTTCTAAAATACATGGAAAGTCAAAAGCATATGCATTAAACAATTCATGCCCATGCCATCTAACATTATTTTGCCTCTGTGTCATACAAAACAAGCTGAGAATTAATATTTGAGAGCTGAGACCAGCAAACATTATTTTAGAGAATCAAATAGTAAACATGCAGGCTTTACAGACCAAGAGGTAAAACAACATTAAGAATATACATGAGTGTTTATAGACCATAGAAGACAAGAAGCTGTCATGTTCTAGCCACTACTTACAAATATGAAAACCATTCCAACTAAGATTGTTTATTAACCTTAAAATTATGGATATGTGTATGAGCATGTGTGTATATGCACGCAAGTGCAGGGACGCATAGAGGCCAGGAGAGGGCATAAGATCTCCTAGAGTTGGAATTTCAGACAGTCATAACTCTATTATGTGGTGCTGGGAACCAAACTCAGGTCCTCTTTAAGAGCAGTAAATGATTTTAACTACTGAGCAGTCTTTCCAGCCCTGAACACCATTCTTGCCTATGGATCATATAAATATAGTCACAGAAGTGAATTTGGCCCTGGGCATGATTGACACAGCAGATGTTTATGTGAACCCTCGCTGTCATTTCCAGAAGAAAATCCCCAATAGGAAATAAGGCTCGCCTCCTAGTGAGACTTTGAAGATGGAATAGTGCACTGCATGGAGTGTTTACCAGCACGTGGTGGAGACAAGGAATGAACAACTGTGGTTTGCATTGCTCCCATCTTTGCCCTGAGTGGGGGTGGGGGGTGGGGGTGGGGGTGAGGGTGGGGTGGGGTGACTGACTTGGCACAGGAGGCATACAGCAAATGAGAAACAATGTTACTACTGCGAGGCCTAGACTAGGGCATCTCGGCTTTTAGACCCACCAGACCCAACTTTGAGGTTATTGTTGAAAATATACAGAATTTGGGTATAGTGGGGTATGCCTAGAATCCCAGTACCTGGGAGACTGAGGCAGGAACCTGTTTCAAGGTCACCTTAGCCTATGTAGTAAGTCCTAGACAAGGTTAAACTATACACCAATACCCTGACTAAAAATTAATTAGTGAATTAACTAATAAATAGATAGGCAAGCAGGCAAAAGCAAGCAAACTGAGCTCCACTTCTCAGAAATACATTTAAAATTTTTATTTTTTATATTTTTAATTATATCTATGATATGAGTCGGCATGTGGGTATGTGCACACAAGTGAAGGTGCCTGTGGTGGCCGGAGGCACTGGATTCTCCCAGAGAGCTAAAGTTCCAGGCAGTTGTGAGCTGTCGGATGTGGATGTTGGAGACTGAGTGCAGGTCCTTCCGAAGGGCAATTCTCACCATTTGCCACTGAGCCATCATCCCAGCCCTTCTCAGAAACCCTGATTCAAAGCTCACTCGAGGAAGAAGTTGAGCATGTATGTGCAGGGGCATATGTGTGCATATGGATGTGTGTACATGAGTGTGTCTGTATGCTAATGTGTGTGCATGCATACATATGTGTGCAATGATTCCAACCACAGATCTGTGGCTAGAGAGAGTGCATACTATGAGAGTAGGGTGAGGGATTCCCACCCGTCAGTGGACCACTCTCCCTATTTGAGTGAAATTCGCAGACCATCGTCCTGGCTCCTGACTGCTTTGTGAATGACAGGCTCCACCTGTCAATGGAAGCGGCTCCTTGCGGATCTCCAGGAGCCAGTCCTTGAGCTGAGTGGTATGCACACAGAGGAGGAGGCAAAGCCTTACACTGTTATTATTGCCCCTTGTTCATCTTTGTCCTTTTCTTATTGCCAATATTCCCTTCGCATACCTTTACCCTGGGCCACTGTCACCGTATAACACTTTGACTCCACTTCTGCCCCACAAGAGCATGTGCTGAATCTTACTTGCTGGTATCCCAACATCTCAAAGAGTGCTCAGTGCCTGGTAAGTGTGTTTAGTAAAGAGTTGTGTTCACGGGGGAACAGAGCTCACGGTGCCATTGGAAGGCCAAGTTCATGGCCAATCTAAGGCAGAGCCCAAGGTCACGACCCTCCTTATCCTGGAAGTAGCAGTTCAGAGTGGCATGTCCTCTTCAGCCTTTCCCTGTTCCTTGTTGTTTGGCCTGAAACCGTTGCTATGAACCTCAGTGTATTCATTCATAAAATCCATAAAACACTGCAAGCATGGGATGACATGAACTTCACTGGGTGGGATATTCTTCCTAAGCAGAAGCTGTGTTGATTTTCTTTGGGACCTAGAGTTGAAGAAACAGAAAATGTCTGAACATTCCCAAAGTGGGAAGTCAAGTAGACTACAGTCTGCTGACATGCATCTGTTTCCTGGACAACTGTGTACCAAGCTTCTGGCTTGTGTGAGACACTATGCCTGGGCCTTGAGAAGTTGAGTAAGAAGCCAGACGTTGCCCCAGCCCTCACGGAGCTTACTGCATGGAGCTGAGGGTAGATGGGAATCCACAAGGCTAAGAGCCATAGTCTTAACCCTGGGAAAAACAGGACCTCGAAGCCCATGGCATCCTCACATCTGTGTTGGGGAGAGCTATGGATTTAACATGCAGTCCAAGGAGCCAAGACCTGACCTATACGAGACTGACGACTTGAGAACAGGGTGGCCAAGCGTGGAGGGAAGACAGAATGACACAGGGTGCAGGCCATAGACGCAGAGGCTGGCTCTCCACAAACCTCAGTGTTCCCACCGGACACCTGAGTGATGTGTTAAACTGCAGACTCAGGTTCAATAGATCTGGATAGGTCTGAAGTCATGTCTGATAAGCTCCAAGGGGCACTGAGCCCAGTAGACCATGGCCCAAGCTTGGGGAAAAACAGTCGTAGGCTATCTCTCTCTGCTAAGATGGATGGGGTGGGGTGTTAGATAAGGGGTTTTCTTAAGATCCTTCTGCACTCTACGAACTCATTTTGCAGTTATCTTGTACCAATGTACCCTCCCTGCAGCCGGGGACTTCTCTGCCAACCACTAAGATTCAGTAGAAGTTGCTGCCCTGTCCTAGTGGCCTAATTCTATCTGATACTAGCTTAAAGAGCTCCCTTTGCCCAATAGAAACTCTGTGAAGCCATTGGTTCCCTCATATATTTATTTTTATAAAGCTTTTTGCATGTCTGTGTTATCATTTATTTACATTATGTGTACACATGTGTACATGCCACAGTGCACATGTGGAGAGAAGGGCTTTGGGAAGCTGGTTCTCCCTTTCTTGGGGATCAAACTTAGGTGGTCAGGCTTGGTAGCCAGCGCCTTTACCTGTGAAACCTTTTTACCGGTTCTCATGCATTTATTTTTAAATGAGGCTAAGTTCACCACACACACACACACACACACACACACACACACACACACACACACACATATTGAAGTGCAATAGTAGCCACACACATGATTGTCATGACACCTAACAAACATGAATTCATGCCCACGAAGCAGAGACTAACTCACTTTGGGGACTTGTGCTGAGAGGCCAAGCCTTGGCAGTAGATGAAAAATCCCAGGCTTGCCAGCCCACAAGGTAAGTTTGAGCGTCTGGAGAGGTGACCTGTAAGAAGCTGGAGAGCAGGGCTGTGCTGAGGTCATGGAGAAAGGTCAACATGGTTCCCTCACAGTGACAGAATGGAAGACAGAACAGGAAGGCAGCCTTGAGCCTTCACCGCACCCCCCAAGGGTCAACCGATGACCTTCTAAGACCACCTGGGTGACAAAGATGGACTCAAGAGACACTGCCCTTGTAAGCAATCCCAGCTGCTCTTGACAAATGTCCCCACACAGAGGTTATACACCACCCTGTGCTTACAGCTCAATTACTCACCTCTGCAGCATTAAATCAAAGGTGGTTCCTGTTCAGCGTAATTACCATTTCCGGTAGCTGCTGCCAGCAATGGCTGCCACAGAACATTATGTATGTGTAGAACTAAATCAGTAGCAGGCAGGGGCCTAAGCTCGAATGCATGCGTGTTGTAGGCACAGTGTCCCATGCACATGTGGTCAGCGCCCCTTTCCTTCACCAGCGGCCTCTAAATGCCCCCAGGCAGGAGAATCAGCAGCACTCAAAGGCACCTGCACACTTGGATGCACAATCCATTCCCCTGTGCCGGTCTTTCCACAGGAAAGCAAATGGCCATCTAACCAATGCTTCCCTACACAACCCCAAACTGAATAAGAGAAATGGCCCGCACCCCACCCATCTCTCCCCATCACTTTCCTCACCCCAGGAAGCAGGAAGGGGCACCACCCCATCAGCTGACTGACAGCCATTTTTCTCCCTGTCAATCTTGTCACATTCTTCACTCCCGACACACGAGACGCTTTTAACCCAGGCACAGCTTTATTATTTCAGGCTTGTCAATTCCCAATTTGCTTAGTTAATAAATAAATCAAAATCTGAAAGGAAATTGGGAAAGAGCTTTTGACCCTGAAAAAGAAGGGGCAATGACCCGCTGACCCTAAAATGTGTTTCTTTGACCATGGTGGCTTACTTTGGCATACACATTTCACCCCAATTCCATTGAAGTAAAAAAATATACTTTTGTGGGGGGAACTAGAGCTTGAACCTGGAGCTTCACACACTCTAGGCAAGCACTCTGTCACTGAGCTGCCTCCAACCCTCTTCTTTTTCTTTTGAGACAGGATTTCACTAATTTTTTCCCAGGCTTAATAGAACTCTGAAGCCCAAATCGGCTTCACATTTGAAAGCCTCCTGCCTCAGCCTCCTGAGAAGCTGGGCTTATGGGCCTGTACCACAAGGCTCACCTGGCAGAGTGGCAACTGCTTCACATTGGCCAGTGGAAGCTCCAGAACATCCGCTAAGGTCCTCGGAGGGATACTGCTAGACCAAGAGGATGAAGTGTAGAGCCTTTGACGTAGAGGGAAGAAAAACAGCCTCCAGAAGAAACACCTGGGCCAGCTCATCCCTGGGCCTCTCCATCCTTACTTGCTGAAGCTGGGGCTCAATTAAGCCTGTGATAATAGGCTGCAGATCACTGGCTGCAGCCAGATTCATCAAAATGAAAAGTGTGGCTTCTAGAGATGCTGAAGTAATGCACTAAGTGTGGCTTTGGAGCCAAACGTACCTAGATTTCAATTCTGGCTCCACCTTATACTCACCATGTGAAAAACATGACTGAACAGCTCTGTGCCCAAGATTTCTCTCCATGGGAAATAAGGATAGTGTGCTCATCTCCTCAGCTGAGAGGAAGGCTGAACGAAGTCAGAGGCACAGAGAGAATCTAGGATAGGCCTGACCAAGGGAGTCCTTGCCGAGAACACTTAGGACTGATTGGCCTCAGGCAAGGAAGGCACAGAAAAAGCACCTTGATGCCATTAAGAGTGCAGTGAGCTGGGAGAATGGCTTGGATAGCAGCCATGGGCAAACCAGCTGCTCACCGGAGTTGTCCAGGGTCCAGTGTCAAGGACAGAACAGAACCTCAGAGAAGGTTCCTTGGAAGAGAAACCGGGATCCAAAGCCAATGGAAAGGGGAGCAGCCGTCCATGGTAAGAGTTGGGTGGAAATCAATAATTAGACCCAGAAAAAAAAAACCATACAAATAAATTCAGACTCCTTGGGAGCCATGAATCTTCATCGACCTATCCATCATCCATTCATCCACCCATTCACCCATCTATCATCTATCTATCTATCATAACCCATCAATCCATCATCCATCCACCCATTCATCATCCATCCACACATCCATCATCCATCCACCCGTCTATCTATCATTGTACGAGCCCTTGCAGGGTGCCTGGCTGTGGGTTGACTCATCCCTAACGGGCTTGAGGGCCAGACCGCCCAAACAAGTAAAAAAGATACTTTCTGAGAGGCAGTCTGGGTCTGCCTGATGGTCTCAGCAACAGCAGCTGAAACATGATCTGGAGATGACCTGGACCAATGAGAGGCAGCCATGTCACACCAGCTGATGCATATTCATCAGACCTCCCTCCAGGGTAGGGTGGAGGGTATATAAGGCTTGCCTCTTCCTGAATAAACTGAGCTTGTTGTTTCTACATTCTCCCTGAGTGTGTGTGGTTTGACTCTGCACCTAATTGGCCCCCGGCCCCAAAGGGAACAAGAGCAAGGACCCTGCTACCCCTGGCTTTTTTTCTATGTGCTCCAATGCCACACTCTGAAAGCGAGGTTTGGGAATTTTTATCCCTTGTCGTCTTGGCACATAGCACAGGGTCCTGCAAACGACAGGAAGCACAGACCCTCTGTTGGCAGAGTAAAAGAATGACTCTGGAATGAAATCTGCTGTCTTAGGGGACCTCATCTCCCAGGAATCCATGGCTGCACCCGCTCTTCTTTCCCACTTGCAGTTTCCGTGTCTCCTTTCCTTTCTGCCTTGAATGGGGTCCACACCCTGGAAGATTTACATTCAGGACCTGCTTTTTACTCGGCAAGTTTCGAACTCAAGCTCTCCAGCCGCCATCTTGCAATTGTGCTTCTGGGAGTCGAGGGCCTTTTGTTTCTCCCATGTGTTTCTCCCTCACAGAAAACTAAAACATCTCAATCCGCAAATTGGTTTTCTGAGTCCATGATGTGCCTCAGCTGTTGTCTTCCTGATTGAGGAACCTGTAGACCCCATCCTTCCCCTCGTTTCCACTAAAACTTGTTTTTCCTTTTAATAAAGAAAAAGTTGTAATCTCCCATTGCTACTGTTTTATCTTGGGGAGGCAAAGACACCCCAACAATTTTTCTCCATTCATTTTCTCTACTACAAGCTTAAAGTACATGCATGATATTTAAACTGCCGGCCTGAAGAGATGGCTAAGTGGATAAGTGTGCTTGCTCTGAAAGGAACAGGACGTGAGTTCAAATCCCCAGCACTCATGTAAAAGCCTGGCATGGACCAGAATTGACAAATGGAGACATGCAGATCATGGCCAGGTGATTAGCCAAACTGTGAAGGGCTCCAGGTTCAGGGAGAGAACCTGCCTTAAGTTCAAGGTGAAGGACAAAAGATGAAGACATGCAACATCTTCCTCTGGCCTCCGAATGTAAGTGCTAACGCCCACACGTATGTGTGCACCACACATATGCAAGTCTAAAAAAGTTCAAACTGCAGCCAAAGCATTCATAATTGTCTTATTTGTTGGAGTGCAGCGATGGACTCAAACATCAAACCAAAACACAGGCGCCTCTTGTGGGGTGGGGACTCTAGGACTGAGGTCCAAAGGGCCGAAGAATCACAACAGCGTTTTTAGAAAAGGAAGAAAGGACTAAACAAAAAACTCAATAGCACACTGTTAGAGGTTGGAAAACATCTCTGTGTTCTGCTCCTGGTCAGCCCACAGGAAATGTAAGAATACCCTATATTTTAATTAGTGCATAAAACACTGTCTAGAATGTTATGCTACCCCGGGGAATGCACAGAGCAGGGAACACTTACAAACTCCAGGTCACTCTCCCCATTACATCACTGTGAAAAGAAAATAAATTTATGAGGCTACATTCTATGGACATTATATATTGGAACCGTTAGCCTATTCCCAAATGAGAATGTCAGCTCACACAGCAGGCTCCCAGAGAGAAATTTCTCAACTCCTTCTATTCTGGATGTTTTTACAGTTAATGCCAGGAAAAGTAATCAAAAAAAAAGTGAAGGCTTATCCTTTATTGATAATGAAATGAAAAAAAAGAGAGAGAGAGAGAGAGAGAGAGAGAGAGAGAGAGAGAGAGAGAGAGAGAGAGAGAAGCTGTGTTGCGTTCTTCTCCAGAGATGATAATATAGAGGTTATTTTGTGGGTCTTGCCTGTGATTTATTTGATGTATTCCTCATCTAAGTGATTGGAAACACAGATGTTGATGCTGTAACTTTGCTTCCAGTAAATAATTCCTCAAAGGACTCACATTTGTTTAACCTTACTCACAGGATGATAAACCTGATTAAACATTTATGGGCGCAGCAACAATTCTGTTGGTTTATGTGCTTGGCAAGTTGGAAAAACTCATTCGCCAACTTTTCCACCTTCCATTCACCTCTCCTGAAGAAAAAAAAAAACTCTTTGACATCTTTGGGGGGAAATTCCTGCACCTGGGTTTTGGAGACTTCCCCCTTCCCTTCTTCATTTTTCCATCCGCAGCTGCCTGAAGTCTGACAGCATACAGAAGGGCTGACACGCTGATCCTAAGATCAATAATTAAACCAAAGGGACAGTAGTGAGGGTGCTCCTGTGAGACTCGGGAGGTGGAATAAAAACCCCACTGGGGAAGCATGTTCTTAGGATGGCTGGCCTGCTCCTGAGATAAGGGAACATTTGTGCAGCGTACACAATCATCTGTCTGTCAACAGCATTCGGTAAGAACCTGCTCCCTTCAACCTGGTGGACATGATCAGGGAGCAAAGACTCCAAATGAGATGAGTGCTCATTCATTCATTCATTCATGCTCCAGGTACAACCAGTGAAATGGTACCTAGCTTCTATGATCAGACTCCTGACATCATGCAGCACATAGTGTAGGGAGGAAGATCAACAAGGAGACAGATATCTGTGTGGAGGTCACTTCCTGGAACTCTCTGGCTCTTACAAATTTCCTACCTAGGCCTGGCTT